TTGTCTGACAGTTTTCTCTGTAACTCAGTGTTCTTTTGTTTTCTATATGATTTACACAAGTTTTACAAATATGCAAGATAAGGTATAGGTTGCTTGACATTAGTGTTAATATATGATTGGTTATTACATGATTTTGTGTTTGGAATAGAACTATTTTGCTTGTATTTGCTATAGATAATATGCTGCAGAGAGCTTTATGGTGCTGCATATTTTCCGTTACATATTGTTCATTTGTACAACAGATGTTACATGGTGGAGCCAGGATATACTGGTTTAAGGATTTTGTAGTACTTGGCGATGTGAAAATGCGTTTTACAATTTGATGGGCCGAATCTTTTTTCAAGTATTGTTTCTTGAGTTGGATAACTGAAACTCAGAATTTGCAGGTTATTGTGTGTGCTCTTAGTGTGCAAAGTGTTGTGTTTCTGTTTTGAAGTTTCTTACTGAAATATTTTCTCACTGCAATTTATGATTCGACTGTGTACATACACTTGTAGATTGCGCCGTATTGAACGCTGCTGTTTTAACCTTCAATTTGGTAACTTCAACTTACGTTCGGTTTTCAATTTGCTCAGTGACCTTAGAAGCCTGCTGGTATTGAATGGAACCTAAAATTGTTTGCGTGAAGTGATGACTGAGAACTCTCCACATTGATTTCGATATGATTCTGAAGGCTTTTCAAGTCGTGTAAGAACTTTGTGTTGGCCTTCTAATGTATTTCAAAAAAGTAACTCGAATTGAGTGGTGTTGATTGGTAAAGAAAACATCACAACCAATCGATACACGTGAAATGTGATTTTGTGCTCAACTTTTCATGAAGGCAAATGTGATTTTGTGCTCAACTTTTCAGGAAGGCTTCTTACACATTGCCAAACGCACAAAAAAGTGAGTGATTGTGAGCCTTTTCATAACTTTACTCACTTTAGATTTTAGAAACGTCCCTTTAGAGCGGAATATGCCTTGCACAGATGTGATTACTCGATCTTATGGCAGTGTTAAACTTAGTTGTGCCCTGACATTAACAAGAAAATATTCAGAAACACTCGTAGGCTCTTAAAACACGAATCAACTAGAATTTTGTCAGATTTTTATACAAGCAAATCTGCACAAACACGATTAGGCTCTTAAAGCATAAATCAACTAGAATTTTGTGAGATCTTTGTTTAAATTGTCCAGTTGAAAACAATAATGCATCTGATGATTATAACAGCATAAATGGCTACTATTTGGGCTGATGCAGGAACAAAGACTATTTTTTCAAGATTTCATGGGGAAAATAATGATAATTATAAATACATGTCGACCACTTTTAGCTATGCTGATTCAGAATACAAGCTTCCATTCGTGAAAAATGTTTAATACAAATATTAAATATATATGAACATATTGCCAGATTTCTGGGGGGAAAATAATTACAACATTGAGAGATGAATGGCTAGGTTAAAAAGGAAAAGAACAAAGAGCCTGTGGACTTTGGCTATACAGAGCTGAATGGCTAGGTAAAAAAGGAAAAGGGCAAAAAGCCTGTGGCAGCAGTTAGTTACCTTTTGTTTATGCTAAAACCCTTTCTTAGCCAATGATCAAACTCTGGTATATTGAGGCAGAATTTAATATATATATCCCAATTTATTGTAAGAAAAAGATAATAATATATATGACAGGAATAATATTCAGATAAACCATAAAAACAAACTCAATTTAATGAAGTCAAAAACTTTTTTCCATCACAAACATGAGGTTCAGTGACAACAAATAAACAGCATCCAAAAAAAATCTCATATTAAAATAGTCGCATAATGTAAACACTCGAGCGAAAAAGAAGAACGGAAATTACACCCGAGGGCCTGCAGGTGCTCCACCGACACGCGGGGCTTGGGCTGGCTTGGGCTGGTCATCCTGTAAATGAAAGAATCCAAACCAAAAAACAATGAATATATACCGGGTGACCGAGAACATGTGAAAGAAAAATGCTAGCAAGCCATCTAAGGGATAAAGATGCCAAACTTGATATAAATTACCAATATTGAAAAATGAATCAATGATAATATAATTAGTTTATGATAAAAATAGAAAAAGCAAATGAGTTGTATCCATTGAAATAAAAAATTCTTGCATAGAAGCCTTTTCTGCTTCACAATTGCTAGAAATGTCATACCCATATCTATCATCAGTCAACAAGTAAAGCATGTTACGCACAAACACAATGTACAACAGCAGAATCAATAATGGCAAAACAAAAGTGCAAAAACTCGTAAAGAAGAAAATAATACAACTAGATAAAGAAAGCATACTGACCCTTGGGCGGAAAAAGCGCTTTGGAGGCTCACGGTTCCTCCTATCCGTGCGAGAGCGGACCCTCACAACTTTAGAGTGAATAGCACATGAGACACAGTGCTGTACCTTAACATACAGCTTGGGAAGAGTGTACGCTGCAAAAAAAATAAAAAATAAAATATATATATATATATATGTATATATATATATATGTGCAATGCATCATTCAAAATCTTTTCCTCTGGTAATGTTGATAGTGAACAACTTTAGGTTCACAAGAGGAACTTACTATCGAAAGCACAAGCATCCTGGATATCCCTCACGGCTGCTTGCTCGACTATGTTCCTCACCAGAAACCTCTTGATTGCCTTGTCCTGTCACACAAAGCCATTGCAGACAGTCATCCACAGTAGCCATTATTCAAGCAAAAAATGTCGAAAAGGCTTCGCAAAGTAAGATCTCCATTTTCAACAACAACCCAAATAATGATTTACAAGAATTTGTGCTGCGTGCATCCATGCATTTCACAATGTATATGCTTGTCAATGTCTTATTTTTCTGATCACGTCAACGAATAAAAGCATAACCCTATGGTGTTCACAACACACAAGACGTAAAAATATCATAATTTAAATCATAACTATGGTTACACCTTTGTTCTGTGATCAACCATTAACATACCCAGCTAGCATGTGAGCAGGGTGATAGATGTAAGACAGTCACCAAAACTCAAAACTGTCATTAGCACATTTTCAAGCAATCTCTAATCAACAGTTCCAGCCCACAAAAACAAATTAGCTACAAGCCACCCACATTGAGGGGCTCAATTCTACCGCCTTAAGTTTCTACAAATTTCATATCATTCAAAGATTGAAAGTTTAATACCAAAACAAGCAATCTTCTTCACCTAGACAATCTCTTCATCTGGGAAAAACTAAATTCAGAGTATTGGAGAAAAAAAACGAAGAGCCCAAAAAAAAAAAGAAATGGAGACAGAAAAACCTTGGGGCAGCATTTTCCGCAGTTGGAGCAGCGGATGAACTTCACATGGCCGCGGCCATGCTTGTTACGACCTCCGTTCCTTCTCTTGAACGTCTACAAGAAATCAACGATTTAACACTAAGTAAAAATCAACAAGTAAACGTGATAAACAAAACGAAATTTAATATTTGGGTGGTTGCATTTTCCAACCATTGTTGATCGATTAGCCTTGATCTGCAGAAGGGGAGGCGCTCAAGCGATAAATGGCTAGCTAGGGTTTAGTTTACTCTAGTGAGAATTTATATAGCAGCCAGGCTATCGCCATAAAAATCCCTAGGTTGAAAATACAATTACCCAATATTTTATGGGGAGATTCGATATAAACTATATTTAGTTTCGTCTTACCAAATATTTTTGTATTATTTTTTAAAAATTTTATTGATATAATAAAGAAAATATAAATCAATCATTTATACATATTTACTAATGAGGGTCACTATTCAACAACTTAACATTTTTATAATTAATAATAATTTGTAATTATTATTTTAGTATCTTTATATTATATCAATCTTAATAAGTGTATCTTATCTTAAATCCATTAAACACTATAAAATAATTCATTCATTTACTTAAAAAAATCACATTCTCATCATTTTTTTGCTATTATTGGATTTTCAATACCATTATATCCAATCACATAGTAATATATGTTGTAGATTTTTTATATTAGATTAGATCACATTATTTATAGATAGGTGCAAACAACATTATGACTCCACGAAATAGAGTTTTTTTATCTTGTGATGTATAGTTGCGTTTCTTTCATTGGACCATATCATTCACAAATGAATGGCCACATTATGATAATATAAACTGGCCTAATTCAATAGAAATTTCTAATTAAATTGGATAAAGCTATTGAAACTACAACTACCTTGATTTAAACAAAAATTGAACGAGTGATTACTCTGAAAATTGTAGTGATTTAGGCTAAACGTGTCTCGTTATGTACTTTAAGTTTCAATTCGTTTAGATATCATGAGCTCGAGTTCATCTCGTTTATCAACATTAACGATTCGAGCTCGAGCTTTAATGAGCCGAAATCGAATTTTAACGAGTCAAACTATAAAAAATTTCGAGCCGAGCTCGTTAACTAAACGAGTTTTAAATGAACATGAACTCAGCTCGTTTATCAAACAAGCCACGCGGAGTTTAGCTCAACTCAGCTCACGAACGGCCCGTTTAATTTAACAGCTCTAACCTTTTTGTCGGAAGAAATATACTCAATACAACTGTTCAACCAAGGATGAGTTTCAACTTTCAAGTAAACTGCTTACAACACACCATAAACACACAAATTACATAGTACACCACTCAAATGGAGCTTATGCACAAGATATGCCATACACATCTCCATCTTCACCACACAACTCAAGCAATAACTAATAACATGGCCTCATATACAAGAGTCCCAACAATAAAAAAAAAATTAAAAAAAAAAATCCACAACAACACAAAAAAGCTTTTCCCCAAATCTCTCTCTCAATACTTCAGCCCAAACCCAAAAGGAAACAGAGGGTCTGCCGAGTTTTGTCCCGCGTGTACCGGGAGCTGATCCACACTTCTAAACCATGTCATCGGGAGCTTTCCTCCGAATCCATAGTCCCCAAATATAACGTCTGTTATTCCCTGGCCTTCTGTGCCGGGCAACCATGCAGCAACCAGCGCCTCGATTTTCTCCAAGAGCGCTGGCTCCACGACCAAAGGCCTCCCGGAAATCAGAATTAGCAATGTGGGAAATTTGTCGGCAATCGAAGCTGCCAGCTCAGATCCGTTGAAGTTGATCTTCAGATTTGGGTCGTCACCACCTGACTCGACGTACGGGCCCTCACCAACTGCCACGATAGCGAATGAGATGTCCTGACGAGAGAGAGTCTCGGGAGAAGGGTTTTCTTCGTATATTACTTCAGTTTTCTCATCCACCACTTGTTTTACGGCATCCAGGATAGTCGTGCCTGGTGTGAAAGACGATTTCCACAAATTTTAAAGTCTTTTAATGTTATGGCAATTCAAACATATTCGCTAAAAATGGGTTTTTTTGGTTAACTATGGTTAATTTTGAAAAAAGTTGGTATATTTAGTTGTTAGTGGAATTTTGAGTTTATATTAAAATAATATTGAAAATAAAATAATTAAAGTTGATTTGATGTAAAAGTAGCTTACCATTTGTTCTCTTGGGATTCATCTCTAGCCTACCCCAACTTGCTTGGGACTAAAAGGCTATGTTGTTGTTGTTGTTAATGTAAAAGTAGGAGATATATAATGTAAACTGATGGTTAGTTAAAATTATGTGAATGGATGAATAGTGAACTAAAATTGATGTGGCGTGTAAGAATGATTGATTAATATTATTTAATTATATTGATAATATTGAAGATAGTAAGATTGAGTTAAAATTGATTTAGAGTTTTACCTTCAGTTATTCTGCCAGATTTGCCTTCCCAGGTAATTGTCCAACCACCACACTGATATCCAAGATTGTCGGCATGTGTTCCGGCAAGGAGTATTCGTTTGGCTTTCTTGTCGAGCGGGAGGAAAGGTTTATTGGATTCCTTTCCATTCTTCAACAAAACCAAGGACTTACGAACGGCTTCACGGGCCAGTTCCCTGTGTGGCTGCCGGGGTAAAAAGAAAGCACGTATATTATTCAGAACAAGCAGTTCCAGTGTTTCTTTATCTAGTTGTTTCGACAAGTATTTTTTTCAGAATGTTCAAGTATTCTCCGTAGATAATTTTTTGCTGCTTTTCAGATTCTCTTATGTTTAGCAACTTTTCAGAATGAATGAAAGAAAAATGCATGAGAATTTATTTTCCAGGCTCAGCCTAGGCACGAAGAAAAAATTAATGTTCTTCAGAACAATTCGTTTATGCAAATTGTTTTACAGGAAGTTCGATAGCATCCGGATTAATTAGCTTACAATAGCAGCTAGTCTTCTCATTAGTTATTATTTTGTTTGGTTTAGGCCTGTATTCCATACGTACATGTTCGAACTTTTTTATTTTAAAATCATATTGATAAAAACACCAACTAAGGAAGTAATAGTAAGTACCTTACAACCAACCACATCCAGCAAAGATCTATCAGCAAATGGATGCTCGAAAACTCCAGAAATGAACTTGACTCTCAGAATCCTCTCAACGGCATCATCAATCCTGGCCATTGATATCTCCCCTGCCTCAACAAGGGACAGAAATTCGTCTAGGAATAATTCATATCTAAAAGGAACCATTACCTGCACGAGCGAGGCACAAATATTATTAGACCGAACTAATTACAAGGAGACACAGATTGTTGAAAAATACAGTCTACCATATCAATTCCTGCATTTATGGTTAACAAAATGCTCTGACGATAATTTGAACCATGGGGTTCATAAAGTCGGTCCAATGCCTCCCAGTCTGAAATCAGAAAACCCTGGTGGCAGATCATATGTGTTAATTGCTCGATGAGAAAATATATCCAACAGGGAGGAAATAACAAAACAAAACAAATTTGAAAAATACATTATAAGCATAGGGCATGGTTTACAAAATCATTAGTAGATTTCGTTTCTTGTAAACCTATTTTAATACCTTGTTCAAAATGCATCATCAATTTAGTGATTAATCGCACTCATCGGGAACAAGAAAAGGTTTTAAAGCGTTCAAAATTGACCTACATATGGTAATGTTATGACGACCTTTTTTTTTCGAGAGAGAGGCTCTTCATCCAAGAGAACGAAATAGTGCAAGAAAGCTTCCAAACTACAAATGATGAGGATGGTATAAACCTAATATACCTTGAATCCCAGCTTATTTTTCAAAACTTCAGTAAGAAGAAAATAGTCAGTGTGCAATTTGCTCCCGTTCCAACTCGAGTACGATGCCATTACAGTGCAAACTCCCTGAGAAAGACAATCAAGATATGGTGCCAAGTGGGTTCTCTCCAAATCCTCATATGAAGTTATTGTATTCCCCTCGTTTATACCGCTTTCAGTACCACCATCTCCGACAAAATGCTTGGCAGATGCAAGAACATTTTTCCTGGAATCAGTTTTGAAATTCTTACAATCAGTGGGGGGAGAAAATGACTGTGATTGAAACAGACATACAGGGTACAATCAAGTGGACTGTGTCAAATGTATTAACTGAGAAATAAAGTGGCATTGTTCCGACGTTGTTCAGGTAAGTATAACTTCACTCACAACATTATTTGAGAACAGTCTAGCATAGATTTTATGCATTTTAACTTTTCACTTTAAAATTTTTAATATTGGGGCAATCAAGCCTCGAAAAGAAGATTCTGAACACTATGTCACTTCAACTTACACCTTTTACAGAAGTTTACCCCAATGTACATACAGATCAACAGTATACAATGAATGCTCTACATCACCTGGCATATATCTTTGTACATTTTTTTTCCATAGAAAAAAAAAATAATACATATGTTTCTGTTAGAATCAATTACGAAGCCATAATCAACATAGGTATGTTTTGCTTACGATAAATGGATAAACGCTTTTTTGATAGAAGTACAAAACTGCTCACTCATTTGTTATGTTTCTGTGTTGATAACTGAAAATAAAATAATAATGACACGTCTCTTCCTTTTTTTAGGCGAGGAAGGACAATAAACTCAAAAAATAACAAATAAAGTGAATAAGCTGAAGCATCAGAAAAAATTGCTTTTTAGGGGTAAGCTACTAATATAATTGGCAAATTGAAGAAATTAACTCTGAGATAATGGCCAAAATATTCAAAATTATGGGGCATGAAGTGTAATTTATTCTTCATTGATGAAATTAAGGTCCCGCGGCAAATTGCCAACTACAGAAAACAGGAGTAAATCGAATCACGCATTCCGCCGGCAAAATATGGAAGTCTCACTTTGCACATTCTCCATAAGCTAGAACTCTCACTTTTCAGTCTTAGTTACATTGTACATTATTCAGATTACACTGTCAAGAAAGTGAATGGGATGGGATTTCAGAAATTAAAAAGTTCTTTGACAACATATATTCAGGAAATTCCTTTTACCTTCCAGCTAGAAAAGGGTAGCCTTTGGGGTGACCGTCAGGTGGCACTCCCTGCAAGCCTGAAACAAGGCAGGTCATCTTTCTAACAATTTCAGTGTCTTCACTGTAACTTTCGTAGGATCTTCCCCATCTGGGGTCTCTACTAACCTGAAAGGATAAAACGCATCTTTTTATAATAAATAATGATCATCCATATCTATGTCTATATAGATATAGAAATACACAGTACATTTATATATGTATAACCTATCAATGGCTATATATACGTGTGCTTAGAACAGAAACAAATTGAAAAAAACATTTATACCGATTCTCAATTCCCAAATCGGACAGACAATTTGTATGCAGGTCATCAACAGAATAACAAAATGTTGGTCCTCTCTTAATTGGAAAGCAGAAGGTGCAAAAGTTGTCAACAACAACAAAAGTGGCTGGTTTGTAACTGGAAAAATATTAAAAAACCTATGCGAACCACTATAAGAAAAAAAGAACCACAAAATATTCAATCAGGGAGAGAGAGAGAGAGAGAGAGATAGATTAAAAGCATTACACAAATAGAAGACAACATATTTAACATGGTCAACCACATTGCTGGAGACATATTTTGAAGAACTTATGTAACGTACAGCAACACATGGAGCAAATGCATACTGCGCTCCGCTTGCTCTGACTTCAAGAGCTGTTACCTCCCCAATCTTTTTCACCAAATCAGCATCTCTATAATTTCATCGTAATTGTATGTTATGATCGTTAAATGCAGTCCAGCATTGAAGATATCGAATTTACAAAATAAAATATGTATAAATAAATAAACTGATGTGTGCCTGATCACTAAATCAATAAACACCACG